GAAAAGCACCACCATGCTAAGACAGGAGGGCCATGCGCATGTGAGCCTATGTGTTAAGACAGTCAGTCATGAGAAGTGGAAAAGCACCACCATGCTAAGACAGGAGGGCCGTGTGCAGCTCTCTAGGTAACACTTAGATTTTACCTGCCGCGATCTGGGTACTATTCTAAATGCTTAGCAAAGCTCAATCTGTCTTACTCTTGGAGCGCATCTGTCTGTGCCATATGGACTATTGTCATCCTCATTTTACAGTAGAGAAAACTGAAGTAGACAGATTAAGTACTTTACCTTAAGTCACATAGCAATGAAGTGGCAAAGCCAAAATTTGAACCCAGGCCGTTTACCTATGTAGCACTTGCTCTAAAACATATACTATGCTGGCACTTATCCAGTCTGTGCAAGTAAAAAACCATCAGAAAAGACATCTCTCTGACAAATACAATCAAGAAATTGCATGTTGCTATGAGCAGAAGGGTCTATCCCATTTATCAGCTAATACATAACATGCCTTCCCGAAGGTAGTAACATAAAACACAGATGTTTATCATGCTGATTGGCATCATGGTAGAGGGAATTGGGGCAGCAATGGCAGAGTTGTGTAGCAGAGGCTACACAGGTGCATAGCCTCACACAGAAGGATTCTAACTGCTGGGAGTTGATATCATCCAGAAGCTTCTCTACCCATACATATGAGGCTGGAGTTTAGATGACCAAAAATCTGGGCTCAGAGGAGCATGGAGACCCAGTACCCATAGCCAGACTCTCTATGTGGCTCGGGCTCTTTTCATCACAACAGTTGAGCTCAGAGAAGAATAGTGAAGACAGCCTGTCTTCTGAGAGCCCGAAGGTAACTTTCAAGATTTCTTCTGGCCTTGCCTCAGAAGTCCGGCAGTTTCTCTCCATCTCCGTCTTGCTTAGATCAAACCACTAAGGCCACTCTGACTATGAGGAGGGGAGCCAGGCCCCGCCTCTGGTTGGGAGGCAAGCAAGGTCGTGTTGCACAAGAGCAGAGGGGCACAGAGACACAAAGACTCTTTACAGGAAAGTTGGTCTCGGAATGTTTTTACCTGCAATTAACTGAACAGCCAACTGACAGCAGCTTAAAGACCAAGGGTTACTATCTCAAGCAAAGGGCAAGTTGTATCTGTTGCTCGGTAGCATCACTAGGGACCTTCTGTCTTCCTACCTTGCCACATCAACACTTATGAAGAATCTCAGTGCACTCATTGCTGTAATCATTCTACCCATTGGAAAGTGAAATATTAAACAAAGTAAAAGGAGGACATGGGCCAGGAAAGACAGATAAAGGACTTACTGCAGAGGCAGGAAGACTTGTGTTTGGAGCCTCAGCATGTTCATGAAAGCGGAGTATGGCTCCAAGTCTGCAATACCCCAGTACCCGGGAGAGTGGAGACAGGCAGAGCCTAGGAGCTCGTTGCCAATCCAGTCTAGATAAAGCAGTGAGGTCCAGGTTTAGTGAGAGACCCTGCCTCAAAATTAAGACAGAGAGATTGGCAATACAGCATTGCACGAAAAGGTCCTTGCCACCTAAGTTGGATGCCCTGAGTTCAAATCTTAGAACTCACATAAAGGTGGAAGGACAGAACCATCTCCACAAAGCTGTCCTATGACTGTCACACATAAAAACATAAATATAAAAAATAAAAGGGGTGCTGTTTTTTCCTGTGAATTCTGTGCTTATTTTTTTTCCAACTTAACACAAGCTAGAATTATCTGGGAAGAGGTCATCTCAACTTAAAAGCTGCCTTGCTTAGATTGGCCTATAGGCAACTCTGTGGGGCGTTGTTCTGATTGATGACTAATATGGGAGAGCCAATATCTATGAATGCTACTGGACTGAATAAGAAAGCAAGCTGAGCACACCATGACGAGCAAACTAGTAAGCTCTGCTTCAGCTCCTGCCTCCAGACTTGTGTCTTGAGCTCCTGTCCTGTGGCTTTCGGTTCTGGTGTTTAGCTCCATAGAAACCAAACTAAGGCAAGTTTCTTCAATCTGCACATATCCTTTCCCATAAGCCTTACAGCAACTCACCTGCTGTCCCATTGGTCAGGCCTGACTTTCAGTGCCCAGGCCATTGGTAAAAGGAAAGCTGGGGTGGAACTAACGTTTTCAGTCTACAAAGTTGGAAACGCGTCTGTGAGTTTAAGAGGAGAGGTTGTCCCAGAGAACTTAGACAACAATGGAGACACTAACAGAGACTTACACAGACCTAATCTACATGGGAAGTAGAAAAAGACAAGATTTCCTGAGTAAATTGGGAGCATGGGGACCTTGGGAGAGGGTTGAAGGGGGGAGGGATGAGTCAGGGAGAGGAGCAGAGAAAAATGTAGAGCTCAATAAACACCAATTAAAAAAGAGAGAAAATGTGCAGTTGGTGAGGTTTGGTGAGAACCAAGCAACACTGACATCCACAACAGGCTCAGGAAAGCATCCGCTCACAGTTACTAACTGATGCTCAATGATGAGAAGGGCCACACCGAGAAAGGCACCGTCCTTATCTTAGAGCACAGAACATGAGGTTACATAGTCAAGTGCAGACACGCCAAATGTCATTCAGTGATCACTACGCCAATTGACCAGAAGTATAAATACTTATTGAAGTATATGGGAATGAAATACAGGATTGTAGCTGTAAATACAAAGATAGTCGTAAGGTTCTTACTAAGTCTAAAAATCGTCTTTGAAAGTATGCACTTTCCCACTGTGTGAGAGAGTGAAGCACCGTACTGAGCACACAGCAGTATCCTGTCCTTAGGGAGGCTTCTGCGTCACTGGGAGCTCAGACTTTGTCTTTGGAACTCTAGTCTTAGGGCTATCTGTCTTTCTTCTAGTTGGTCGCACCTTCACCACAGAACTTTGGATGATTTGGGTACTTGCCCAGGTGCTAGGGAAATGAGAGCCGTTTTCCAGTGTCTCTAAAGATTGGCCCGCCATCATATAGTGTGACTTTGGGGCGCTTAATGTGTGCGTCAATAGTCTAAGCCCAACTTCTCTGAGATGACCTGAAATTTGAGGAAACATATCCTCAAAACTCGAAGTAAAGAGTGGAAGCTGAAAGCAAGCTCCACTCCCTGCGTACACAGGAACCAGAGCTGGCCTTGTCTTGGCAGCACTCAGCACCCACCATGTACGCCCCTCGGATAACAGCGATGGCATCACATAACTGCTGTTGAAAGCTTTTCCTCATGGTGTCTTCTGCCTGCAAACCAAAGACAAATGTAGTAAGTACCACGGCACCTCCTGGGGAAGAAGGCATAGCAGCCATTCACCATCAGTCTCTTGAGAATTTCAATTTATCATCATTTTCTTCTATACTGAAGCTGTTGTAGCATATTTAATTTTCATTTGTGATTACCCCAGAGCAATACAAAGGGGCTGTGGATAAAATACAGAACAACTTGACAATGTTTCACTGTACACATCAACTAAAGTCTTACAGACTCTTCCTAGAACTGCTTGGAAAAGGAATAAGATCTATTTACATTCACATTGTTGTGTAGTCTGTATACTTTTTTTGTTTTTAATTTTAACTTTGTGTGTGTGTGTGTGTGTGTGTTTTCCTGCATGTACAGCTGTGTACCCCTTGTGTGCCTGGTGCCCACAAAAAGGGAGTCAGAACCCATAGGACTGAAGTTAGAGATGGCTGTGAACTGCCATGTGGGGATCGGGACTCAAACCACAGTCCTCTAAAAGAAGAGCCACCCTCTCAACCACTGACTCATCTCTCTAGTGCCCAGTTCTACTTTTTGATGGAATAACTTCATAAAAGGTTAGCTTTGCTGATAGATAGGCTATAATAATTTTGTTCTTCTAATAAATTTGATAATATCTGCTTAGGTTAAAAATGAACATTTCTTAAAAAAATACTCTGATTCTCATATCCATTCTGAGTCTGGCATGCTGTGTAAACAACAAACAGGTATTAGAGTCAGAAAGGATGGAATTTAAATATTGTATCCACTCCCCATGCTTTGAGCAAATGTAAGGTATCAAACTTGGAAAACTTAGTTTCTGAAATTTGTATCTCAAGACTTTCCACTTGGGGATTTGGAGAGACTTGAAGATCATGTAAGTGTATTTAAAATGCTTAGCAAAGCATTTACTATGATATGGTTACAAAATATGAGTCTTCTTTTATGGCACAGAAATAATGCCAATCTTTAATATTTTATTTTACAGCGAGTCTCACTGTGTAGATCAGGCTAGCCTAAAAGGCCCAGACGCCCTACAAAATGTCAGGAGATGGAAAGAAACCATAAAGACTAAGCAGACATTAATGACACAGTATCAAACAACAACAAAACCAATACAAAGAATCAATGGAACAGAGTTGGTTCTTTGAAAAGAAAACTGGGGTTGACAAACCCTTAGTCAAACTAACCAAAGAGGGTGGGCAAGATGACTCACTGGGTAAAGGGACCCTCTACTAAACCTGATGACATGAGCTTGATCCCTTGAAACCACAGAGTGGAAGGAGAGGACCTCCGACCTTCACATGGGTATCCTGGTGCTTGCATGTCTATGCCACTACATACACACAAACTAGCCAAAAGAAAGAGAGAAAGACCCAGTTGAATAAAATTGTAGGTTAAAATGAAGCCGTTGCAACAGATACCAATGAGATTCAGAAAATCATTAATTATCTTAGAAACTTATATTTCAATAAATTTGAAATTCTAACAGCAATGTATGGATTTCTATGTGAAGATGACCAAAATTAAACCAAAATGAGACAAAAAACTTAAACAGATCTATGCTGTGGGAACTCCTTCAGCCAATAGCCTTTATGATACTGGCCCACTTTGGGCATGGTCTCATGTATTATAAATGTAGACAAAAAGCATGTGCAGCTGGCTCTCTTGGCTACTGAATAATAGGTAGATTATTGCATTTACTCGTGAGCTATAATTTACAATGATATAGATTCTTGTATATTAATACAATTTCAAATTATATTTGTTAAATTGAATATGCCTTTACTTCTGTTTATAATATTTGTGCACCTATGCAAAATGTCATATATGTATAAAATATGTCATATTGTATGCATGCATGTTTCTACCTTTGCTTTGTATATTGCATCAATATATAAAATAATATACATTTCTACCTCTGATCAAGATATTGTTTACATTTTGAGGCAGTTGTCCTCATTTGCTGCACATTTGTTTAAAGATTGTTCAGTTTTTTCATGTGGAGACTTAGTTTTTAAGATATATGGTATTAAAAATTACAGGTCAAAAGTCATCCTTGTTTGTCATAATTATAGTTAGACTAGTCAGGTTCTTTAGATGCACAGAGATTGTGTTCTGCATAGACAGGTAATCTTCAAACACTTCAAAAAACTGTGTAATATGACATTTAAATAACTAAGGATTCTGTTCATGTGAGATATGGTTGCTCCTGGCAGCATCAATCTATTCATGAGAGAATTTTGGGTGCTGAAGACACTCCACTTGGAGCTTGTTTTCCCCTTGGCAAAACTGGCCTTTGGACAAAGAACTGTTCCTGCCTTTACTACTGACAAAATTCATGGTGTCAAACTGGACAAGCAGGATACAAACAAAAAGATTGGCAAATATTGCCAAGACAGGGTGAGACAGTTTTTCAAAATTTCCTGCCTCTGAAAATTGACTGTCAGATACTCTAGGCCTTAGCCAAATTTAGTTACCCCAACATTGCAAATGTGACTTTGGTGATTGCCCAGGTAGCCAGTTGTCTCTGTCATTTCTTGTACTTTTTGGAAATTGTTTAATTGCACTTCTTGTTTACTCAGGTAATATTGTTTCCCTTCTCAGGTCTTTGATGGTGTTGAAGATGAAAAAGTCATAGTTACTTTCCTCTCATGACTTAGCTAAGCCATTTTAAATATAAGACTTAGACTCCTTAGGATAGGATAACTATTGAAACATTTAGCATATGCTTCTTGTTTGTTATTGTTCATGATGATTTCAATTCTAATTTTTATGTATTTTTGATGTGGGATTCCCCTCTGTACACTGTGAATATCATTGGTTAATAAAGGAACTGCTTTGGACCTATAGCAAAGCTATAGGGGAACACAGCTAGGGGGGCACTAAACTGAATGCTGGGAGAAAGAAGACAGAGTTAGTGAGAAGCCATGTAGCCCCACTGGAGCCAGATGGAATTTTACCCAGTAAGCCACTGCCACATGGTGATACACAGATTAATGGAGATGGGTTAAATTAATATGTAAGAGTTAACCAATAAGAAGCTAGACCTAATGGGTCAAGCAGTGATTTGATTAATATAGTATCTGTGTGGTTATTTCAAGACTGAGCATCCGGGAACAAACAAACAGCCTCCTCCAAAAAATTGGCACCAACGTGGTTGACTAAAATCCACTTAAAACCTGAAAGGTCTTGAAAAAGAATTCTAGACACAAAAATACAGAGTTTAACACAGTTTCTTGTTATTTGCTGGTGGCATGCCAAAGCTCCTTTTATGAGAGGTTTTCCTGATTCAGTGGTAGCAGGAAAAAAGTCACTCCATTTTGAAATGCAGGCTCTCTGGGCCATGCTGCCAGGGTGATCTCTGGCTCTTTCAGGAGACTGAGCATTTGAATGGGGTTGGTGAGGAACATGCTATGGCTCACTTGGTGGCAACATGAACCAGCTGAGTGCCTAGAGATGGGGCATTGTGCATGGCTCTTGGAGGCAGTGAGCAGCTCTGCAATGCTGGGCTTGGCAGGACAAGCAGGAAACGTCATATTTCCCCTAGTAATGGTGCAGCTTAAGTTTTTAAGAAGCACTTAGCATTTTAAGAAGCACTTCTAGACAGTAAAGAATTACAGATACACAATAGGTCAGATTTAGACATAAAAGACCTCTAAATGTGTCACAGTATTGGATAAATGTATGTAGGCTTGGGAGAGAGAAGAAAAAATAAAGTATAGAGAGTTATAAAAGGAAGTACATGGCTTAAAAAATAAAATACAGTCTTTAAAGAGACAGAGTAAATATTAAAAAGTAATAGAGTAAAAACAAACCATGTAAAGAAGGACTGTACACAGAGAGTCTGAATTATGTATATTACTGTGTTTTCTTTAAATTTTTTGACTGTGAAGGAGCAAGTACAGAAAGACATTTTACTGTATGGACTGCTAAGCTAAACCAACATGTATATTATAAAGGTATCTTGTTTTCAAAATGTGGATCTAAGGATATGTTGCTTTGAAAGAGAGGTTCTTCTTTTGTTTCCACAGAAGATGAGAACCTGTGGATTTCTTCCAAATTAATGTGGTTTGATGGACCAAGACTCCCTGACATGTCACATTGAACACCCCTCAGAAATTACTTTGACCAATAAAAAGCAGGAAACAGTTTGGAGAAGAACTATGCTCCTATTCCCAAATCAAATATTATTTATAAATGTTTGTTTACATTTAAAGGGGGATATGCTATAGAGATTTGCATTGGTATGGATCTTGGTTTATTGATACAAATTTAAGGTCAGTTTTGTTATACTGCATATATATATATATATATATATATTCTTGATTAAGGTGTTGCGTTTGTGTAGCTCATTTAAAAATGTAATGTGTAATTAAGAAATATAGGTTAATAGATAGTCATCTATAATAGTCAAGCTTGTAGTTATGTTACTTAAATTTTCTAGATGTGCAGAGATATATTTTAGATAGATAGGCATTTTTTTAAACTTTTCAAAGACTACAGAATATGGCATTTAAAATGTTTAAGAACTTAGGACTTTTCATGACAATGAGACACATCTGCTCCTGGCAGCACCAACTACGTCAAGAGGAAGATGAGCACCAAAGAGGATCCATATGGAGTTGGTTAGCCATTTAGGCAACAAATTGTTCTTGCCTGGACAGCTTGACGGGATATGCAGGACTCACAGAAAAAAGGACTGTTGAAGCTGCCTAAAGAAGGTGAGACTGTCCTTCAGGTTCCTGCTTCATCAAAGAGTCTGTCAGACGTTCTGCAGGATACAGAAGAAAGTTACTGACAAACTGCCAATATAGGTGGAACTGTCTTTGAAATTTCCTGCTTCATGGAAAGGTCTGCCAGATACTATGGGCTTGTGGGCTGAACACTGGATGCCCCAATGATTCAAAAGAAGTTTGGGTGATTGTCCAGGTAGCCAGATGTCTCTGTCAATTCTAGAGTTTTGGAAGTTGCTTACAATGCACTTTCTGTTTACTTAAGTAATATT